ATGTGTACTCATATTCTGCAAAAAAAGTTCAATTCTTGTGTTATTTTCCCAGAATTCCTCTGAATTCTAACTATTTTCTTCTGTCTCCTCCAATCTTCGTCAGTATATAGACACTGTCACTGTTTTTCCCCTTCAAAACCGAAATTTCTCCCCTCTCTCCCTCTCTAACTTCCTCCATGGAAGCAAAATTTCTCCACTTTCTCTCTCTAACCTCCTCCATTTTCATACTCTCTGCGGCCTTCACGCCCCAAGACAACTACCTCATCAGCTGCGGATCGAACGCCGACTCAATCACGGTCGATAACAGACGCTTTGTCGGGGACGCGTCAAGAACTGGGTCGACTCACCTATCAGAAGGTAAAAAATCTCGCTCTCTATCCAACCCGAGATTTTCAGAAAACCCATCTCCCAATTACCCTGCAATTTACAGTTCGGCTAGGATTTTCACCGGGCCCTTTACCTATAAGTTCACAATCAACAACATAGGGACACATTTACTGCGCCTGCATTTTTCCCCCTTTGTTTCTGAAGATTATGACCTCAAAGCTGCGAAATTTAGTGTCTTGGCAAATGGGTTTTCCCTGTTGAGCGGTTTTAGCTCGAACTCCACTGTTCTCAAGGAGTTTTTCTTAATGGTGGAAAGGGACGAGCTCGAACTTATGTTCTCGCCCGTTGGCTATTCTGATTTCGCTTACATTAACGCGATTGAGGTCTTTTCAGCGCCGAAAGATTTCTTCATAGATTCAGGCGGCATAGCTTTGATAAACCCTGATGGGGTTCAAGAATTCAAGCAGAATATTACAGAACAGGTTTTCGAAACCATTCATAGGATTAACGTTGGGGGTTCGAAGATAACCCCTTTTAACGACACCCTGTGGAGGACTTGGGTCCCGGACGATGATTTTCTCGTCCTGAAATCCGCGGCCCGGATTGCTAAAACGACTGACCCGCCCAATTATCAGGAAGGTGGGGCGACCAGGGAGAATGCACCCGATAATGTGTACATGACAGCTCAGCAGATGAATGTGGTGAATAGGAGCTTGATTTTCGAGTTCAATGTTAGTTGGGATTTCCCGGTGAGCGAAGATGACGAATTGCATTTCGTGCGTTTGCATTTCTGTGACATTGTTAGCGTCGCTTTAAACACTTTGTATTTCGACGTGTTTATAAATGACGTAACCGCATATAAGGATTTAGATCTATCGGTCCTCGCCTTCCATCGGCTTGCTTCTCCTTATTACATGGATTATGTTGTGAGGAAAGCGAAGAAATCGAGCCTCGTACGGATTACCGTGGGCCCTTCGCATCTAAGCACAACCCTCGCGAAGAACGCGATCCTCAACGGTGTCGAAATCATGAGGATGGTGAATTTTGTGCCGTTTAGGCAAACTAAATCCGAGTCGAGGAGGAGCAAATGGATTTTGGTTGGTTCGATTGTTGGAGGAGCACTCGCGCTCGCGCTAATTATAATACTTTCGGCAACTCTAGTCGTTCTTGTGCTCAAATGGAAAGGAAAAACGAGCCCGAAATCCAAACGGACTGAGAGCGGAGGTTGGACCTCCGTCCGGGCCCACAACGCCAGCTCGCGAGGTGGCCCGCCTTCCGAGGGGACCATGCTCGCCTCACCCGGCCCGTACGGATACTACGGGCTCAAAATCCCGTTCACCGACCTCCAAACGGGCACGAACAACTTCGACCCGAGCCTCGTGATCGGGTCGGGCGGATTCGGGCTCGTCTACAAGGCGATAATCGGCGAGAAGAATGTAAAAGTCGCCGTCAAACGGGGCGTGCCCGGGTCGAGACAGGGCCTACCCGAGTTCCAAACCGAAATTACCGTTTTGTCCAAGATCCGACACCACCACCTCGTCTCGCTAGTCGGCTACTGCGAAGAGCAATCGGAGATGATACTCGTTTACGAGTACATGGAGCGGGGAGCGCTCAAGCACCACCTGTACGGCGACTCGGATTTCACTCCGCTTTCTTGGAAGCAAAGGCTCGAGATTTGCATAGGGGCCGCTCGGGGGGTACACTATCTCCACACGGGGTCCGCGCATGGGATAATCCACCGGGACATAAAGTCGGCGAACATCTTGCTCGACGAGAACTACGTGGCCAAGGTTGCCGATTTCGGGCTTTCGAAATCCGGGCCGTGCATGGACGAGACGCACGTGAGCACCGGCGTGAAGGGTAGTTTCGGGTATTTGGACCCGGAATATTTTCGGAGGAGGCAGCTGACAGATAAATCGGACGTTTACTCGTTCGGGGTGGTGTTGTTTGAGGTTTTGTGTGCTAGGCCCGCGGTCGACTCGTTGAGGGCCCGGGAGCAGGTGAATTTGGGTGAATGGGCCCTTGAGTGGCAGAGGAAAGGGATGGTGGAGCAGATAGTGGACCGAAGTATAACGGGCCAGGTGAGGCCCGGTTCGTTGAAGATATTCGTAGAGACGGCCGAGAAGTGTCTGGCTGAGTATGGGGTGGACAGACCGAGTATGGGGGATGTGTTGTGGAATCTTGAGCATGCGTATCGGGTTCAGATGGGCCAGGGGGATTGTGATTCGAACGGTCCTGTTGTATTTGAAAATGGGCCAACGGGCCGGGCCCGGGAAGAAGAGGAAGGTGAGGAGGTCGGTTCGGATATATCGACGAGCCGGGTTTTCTCACAGTTGTTGAATAATGAGGGGAGATGAGTTTTGAGGATTGAATGTAACTCTCTCAGAGTCTCAAGCGCTTGCTTTTGGGCATTTTTGGTTGATTGGTTTTCAAGTTTTATTATTATTATTATTATTATTATTATTATTATTATTATTATTATTATTATTATTATTATTATTATTATTATTATTATTAATAATAATAATAATAATAATCTTTTAGGTGGGTTTGATGGGTATATATTGTTGTTTTCTTTGTTATAAGATGTATACAAAGAGTTGAGGGGAATTTAGCAGTTTGG